GAGAAGGATACTCTTTCCCCTCTATATGTTTTTGGTGCCTTTGTTGAAAATCAGTTGGCTGTAAATGCAGATTTATTTCTGGTTCTCTATTCTGTTCCACTGGTCGGTGTCTGGTTTTATACCAACACCATACTGTTTTGGTTATCATAGCCTTGTAATACATCTTGAAGTCAGGTAGTGTGATGCCTTCAGCTTTGTTGTTTTTGTTCAGGGTTGCTTTCCCAATTGGTTTCTGGCTACATGAGATCTAGGAGGTTTTTGTGGAGTCTTTAGTTTTTCCTAGAAATATCATTGATGGAGCATATCGTTGGAAAAGAGGGACAGTTTTATTTCTTCTTTTCCAATTTGGATGTCTTTTATTTATTTCTCTTGCCTGATTAATCTGGCCAGGACTTCCAGTACTGTGCTGAATAGGAGTAGTGAAAGTGGGCATCCTTGTCTTGTTCCAATTCTTAGAGGAAGGCCTTTTAGCTTTTCCTCATTCAGTATGATATTGGCTGTGGGCTTGTCGTATGTGGCCCTTACTTTGTTGAGGTTTGTTCCTTCTATGCCTAGTTTGATGAGCGTTTTTATCTTGAAAGGATGTTTATTTTCATCAAGTGCTTTAATGTATCTATCAAGGTGATTATATGGCTTTTTCTCTTCATTCTGTTAATGTGATGTATTACATTTATTGATCTGAATATGTTAAACGTATCCTTGCATGCCTCAGATAAATCCCATTTGGTCATGGTGTATTATCTTTCTGATGTGCTGTTGAATTTGGCTAGTATTTAGTTGATAATTTTTGCTTCTATGTTCATCCAGGATATTGGCCTGTAATTTTTTTGTTGTTGCGACCTTGTCTGGTTTTTGGCCTCAAGGTAATGCTGGCCTCTTAGAATGAGCTAGGGAGAATCCCTTCTCTTCAATTTTTTGGAACAGTTTGAGAATTGTTGGTTCTCCTTTGAAAGTTTGGTAGAATTTGGAGTGAAGCACCAAGTCCTAGACTTTTCTTTGTTTGGGAGATTTTAATTATTGATTCAATATCTTTGAATCATTATTGGTCTTACTCATTATCGGTCTGTTCAGGTTTTATATTTCTTCCTTATTTAATCTTGGTAAATTATATGTATCCAGGAATTTATCCATTTCCTCCAGCTTTTCCAGTTTGTTAGTGTATATTTATTGTAGTCTCTGATGATCTTTGGTATTTCTGTGGTATCAGTTGTAATACACTTCTGATTTTTTTTATTTGGCTCTTTGCTTTTTTCTTGGTTAGTCTAGCCAGTGGTTTATCAATTCTATTTATCTTTTCCAAGAACCAACTTTTCATTTTGTTAATCCTTTGTATTTTTTTGAGTCTCTATTTTGTTTAGTAATTCTCTGACCTTTATTATGTCTTTGTACCAATGTGGGTGTGGTTTGTTCTTGCTTTGTAGTTCCTTGAGGGGCACGATTTGATAGTTTATTTAAAAATTTTCTGCTTCGGCCGGGCGCGGTGGCTCAAGCCTGTAATCCCAGCACTTTGGGAGGCCGAGGCGGGTGGATCACGAGGTCAAGAGATCAAGACCATCCTGGTCAACATGGTGAAACCCTGTCTCTACTAAAAATACAATACATTAGCTGGGCATGGTGGCGCGTGCCTGTAATCCCAGCTACTGAGGAGGTTGAGGCAGGAGAATTGCCTGAACCCGGGAGGCTGAGGTTGCGGTGAGCCGAGATCGCGCCATTGCACTCCAGCCTGGGTAACAAGAGTGAAACCCCGTCTCAAAAAAAAAAAAAAAAAAATTCTGCTTCTTTGATGTAGGCATTTATTGCTGTAAACTTTCTTACTGCTTTTGCTGTATCCCATACATTTTGGTATGTTGTATTTCTGTTTTCATTTGTTTCAAGAAATTTTTTATTTTCTCTTTTATTTCTTCCTTGAACCAGTAGTCATTGAGGAGCTTAATTTCCATGTATTTTTAGTTTCCAAAGTTCTGCTTCTTCCTGAATTTTAGGGGATTTTTCTGTTGTGATCTCAGAAGATACTTGATATTTCAATTTTTAAAAACAAAAACTGTTCTTCCTATCCCTTGTGTTGGTTATTCTGGGTGTTTTGCTCCACTGTGTTGCTGCAGCTTCTTAACTGGACTTGAGCTCTTCTAGAGCTATTTGTATTCATGGATAGCAAATTGTCCACTTTTGTGGGAGGAAGAGAGCAGGAATCCCCTACTCTGCTATCTTGTGACATCACTACTCTTTCTTTGTTTCTTATGACAACATTTTTGAAGAAAAAAGTTGTTATTTTATATAATGTCTCTCAATTTTGTAGTTTGATGTAGTCTTATGATGAGATTCAGGTTATGGATTTTTACTGGAATACTGGAATTACTGCATAATTTATGTGTGGCAAAGGTCACAGTGCAAATTAAATGACATGATCTTTGAATAAGGTCTAGACTCCTTTTGAAAGGCTGTTTGATCAGGGAAACTGCATTGCTCTACCACCTTATTTCATGGCTATGAGCATCAAACTTTAGGGAGTTGATCCTGACCTGTAACAAATATAGTGCCTTAGCTTTGCACCTATACCTCCAGTTTAACCACTACTTATTTTGTATTCCATGAACTACCCACTTATCTTTTTTACAATTTTGAAATTTTCTTTCAAAGGTAATAAAATACTGGAACTTTTGGGCCCATGAAGTCCAAGAGGACTTAATTAACATTAATTCCTTAAAAAAAAAAAAGATGGGGTTTTACCATGATGGCCAGGCTGGTTTTGAACTCCTGATCTCAGGTGATCCACCCACCTCAGCCTCTCAAAGTGCTAGGATTACAGGCGTAAGCCACCACGCCCGGCCCATTAACATTAATTCCTAAGAGTTTGCTGCAACTTGGCCTGATTTTCAAGACTGTACAAAACAGCACCTATCTTACGGTTTATATTGAGAGACAAGTCTCGTGTTTTTGCATGGGCCAGGTCCTTTGAGTGGAGGTATTTACAACCAAATTAAAACTGTGTAAGAATGTGTGCCACCTTAGTAAAGGTCAGATATGTCTCTCTTCCTAGAGGTGCTCCAGAGTAATAAAGATAAATACCTCTCCTTTCCCTTCCTAGTGAAAATTTGCATACATTCTGGAATACAGATAAGGTCACTCTTCTTTTTCTCTCATGTGGAGGATGGGCATGCCACCAGAAGCTTCATATAAGAACAGAGTTTCCTGATGTCAGGATTCTCCTATAAAGCACTCATTGCATATAGCAGATAACTTTTGTACCTTATTGCTTTACCCTATGGCAACTGGGGTTCTGGGAAGCAAGGCAAGATATTGTTCCTGCCACTTTTGCCATGGTGAAAAATGGTATGACTTTGACTCAGGGGTCTTATTTTTCTCTGTTAGATGTATGTGAAGCTGCAGCAGGCTATCTTGTTAGCATGCAAGTAGAGCAAAATCTTGAACCTTTCAGTTTCTGAATTATTAAGCATCTTTTCCTTTTTTTTTTTTTTTTTTTTTTTTTTTTTTGAGACAATCTGGCTGGAGTGCAGTGGCACGATCTCGGCTCACTGCAACCTCCGCCTCCCGGGTTCTCTGCTTCAGCCTCCTGAGTAGCTCGGATGACAGACACGTACCACCATGCCCTGCTAATTTTTGTATTTTTAGTAGAGATGGAGGTTTCACCATGTTGGTCAGGCTAGTCTGAAACTCCTGACCTTAGGTGATCCACCCACTCTTTTGTTGCCTTTTTATTGAATTATCTTTTTCATATTAGTCTGTAAGATTTATTTGTATTACATATTGAAATATCAAGATATTTGTTGTATATATATATATGTATTATAAATAACTTCTCCCATGAGAAGTTAAGAGATTTCTTTTCATTGATGAATGGAAATTATTAACTTTAACATAGCCAATAATTTTTTCTTTATTGTTAGAGCTTCTTAAAAATACTATCTTAGGCCTGGTGCAGTGGCTCACGCCTGTAATCTTAGCACTTTGGGAGGCCAAGGTGGGCGGATCACGAAGTCAGGAGTTTGAGACCAGCCTGATCAACATGGTGAAACCCCATCTCTACCAAAAATACAAAAATTAGCTGGGCATAGTGGCATGCACCGGTAATCCCAGCTACTCAGGAGACTGAGGCAAGAGAATCACTTGAACCTGGGAGGCGGAGGTTGCAGTGAGCCGAGGCACCACTGCACCGAAGCCTAGGCAACAGAGCGAGACTCTGTCTCCAAAAAAAATACTATTTTAAAAAAATGATAATAATTTTGCCAATCCAAAGGTCACGAAGCTATTCTTCTATGTAATTGTTTTCCTTTTGCCTTTACAATTAGATTGTAGGGGTCCAAATGAGGCAGGAGGATAGGGTCTGGAGACAGGGAACCTAAGACCAACCCCTGCTGACTTTCATTTACTTACAAATTTCAGAATTAGTTTCTCAGTTTCCAGCAAGGCAAAACTGCTGGAATTTTGATTGGCATTGGGTTGTTTATAGATCAATTTGTGGATAATTAATACTTTTATTCTTCTTCTTTTTTGAGACGGGGTCTTGCTCTGTTGCTCAGGCTGCAGTGCAGTGGCACAATCTCGGCTCACTGCAACCTCCACCTTCTGGGTTCAAGCCATTCTCCTGCCTCAGCCTCCCTACTAGCTGGGATCGCAGGAGCACGCCACCACACCCAGCTAATTTTTGTATTTTTAGTAGAGACGGGGTTTTACCATATTGCCTAGGCTGATCTAACTCCTGACCTCATGATCTGCCCACCTTGGCCTCCCAAAGTGCTGGCATTACAGGCATGAGCCACTGAGCCTAGCTAATATTTTTACTCTTAATCTTCCAATATATTAACATATTATATCCCAAAATTTATTTGTCTTCTTTGGTTTCTGTCAATATTCTGTAATTTATATCTCATATATATTTTAGATTTATCCTTGGCACTTAATAATCTATTTGATAAATGTTCTAACTTAAAATTTAAGTTCCTATTTATTTATTGCTGATATATATATTTGATTTTTTTCAGAGACAGTGGGTCTTGCTACATTGCCCAGGCTGAGCTTGAACTCCCCAGCTCAAGCAATTCTCCTGCCTCAGCCTCCTGAGTTGTTGGGACTGTGGATGATGCATGTCACCATGCCTGGCTTATATTTGATATTTTATGTTGACCTATGTTTAGCCACATTGCTGAATTCACTATTTAATTTTCATAGGTTTGTGTGATTTAGATTTTTCATATATGCAATCATGACATTTGTGAATAATGAGAGTTCTATTTCTTTTCCAGTCCCATGACTTTTTTTCTTATCTTATTATGCTAGGTGGAACTTCGGTACATTTATGTATTTAGCTATTAGTAGTTTTATTGAGGTATAATTGACCTACAATAAATTAGGTACAATTTGGTAAGTCTTGACACACATGCTTGAAAAAACATCACCACAGTAAAAACAAACAAACAAAAAAACTAAACATATCTATCACCTTCTACTCTTTTCTTTATAATCTGTCCCACCTGCCCCAAACCCCAGATAACCATTGGTATGCTTTGTCACTTAGATTAGTTTGCATTTTCTAAAACTTTATATAAATAGAATAATACAGTATGTATTATTTGTTGTCTAGATTCTGTCACTCAGCATAATTATTTTGAATTTCATGTTTTTGCATACATCAGTAGTTCATTTTCATATTACTGAGTGGTGTTAAATTGCATACATACATTACAATTTGTATATCCATTCACTTGCTGGTGGACATTTGGGTTGTTTCCAGTTTTAGCCATTTCAAATAAAAATGATGAGGACATTTATTTACAAGTCTTCATATGGATGTATGTTTTATTTTTTCTTACGTAAATACCCAGAAGTTGCTAAATCATCTGATAGGTGTGTATTTAGCATAAGAAATTGTCAAACTGTTTTCCAAAGTGGCTTACCATTTCACATTCCCACCAGCAGTGTGTAAGAGTTCCATTTCTTGGCCAGGCATAGTGGCTCACACCTGTAATCCCAACACTTTGGGAGGCCGAGGTGGGCAGATCATTTGAGGTCAGGAGTTCGAGACCAGTCTGGCCAATATAGTGAAACCCTGTATTAGCCAGGTGTCGTGGCAGGTGCCTGTGGTCCCAGCTACTCAGGAAGCTGAGGCAGAAGAATCATGAACATGGGAGGTGGAGGCTGCAGTGAGCTGAGATCTCACCACTGCACTCCAGCCTGGGTGCCAGAGCAAGACTCCATCTCAAAAAAATAAAAAAAGAGTTCAGTTTCTCAGTCAACCTAGCCATATCTCAGGTGCTCATTAGCCAGCCATATGTGGCGAGCGGCTGCCATACTGGAAAACACATATCCATCAACATGGAAAATTCTATTGGACAGCACTGGACGTCTCCTTGCTATGAACTCCCAAGACCTGTGACCTGAACTTCTTTATTGTCTTTTACCTGTAGGGAATGGGGGCGATGCATAGGGGCTTTATTCCGTGATTAAGGACTGCCATTTTCCATCCCTTTCCCCACATTTCGTAAGTCATCTGGTTTGAATTCCTTGGTTCACTCCAGGCCATGCACCTCATCTGTCATCTGTCAGATCAAGACAGACCCAGAGGATCCTATTCAAGGCCCATATTCTCCAAAGGAGTTAAACTTCTAAGAAGAAATTAAATGGAATCAATCTTATCTATTTATTGAAGAAACCAATCCTGGGTAAAGAAAAAAGGGAATGAGGTTTTGGGACAGAAGTTCTGGTGGGCGGGGGAGGGGGCGTGAGAGAAGAAGCCCCAGCCCCTGAGTGGTGTGGGGGAGGGAAGGGAGGGGTCACTTGTAAAACTCATGCTCCTGCTCGTCCTTCTTGATGACAGTCTTGTATGCTTTCTCGAAGTCCTTTGCCAGGACAATGTAGCGGTTCTCACGGACAGCCAACATTCCACTCTGTTGAAGGATAAGAGTTAAAATCGACTTCCTGTGGTAGAGTGTGATGGCTCACACCTATAATCCCAACACTTTGGGAAGCTGAGGTAGATGGATCACTTGAGCCCAGGAGTTTGAGACCAGCCTAGGCAACATGGTGAAACCCTGTCTCTACAAAAAAATACAAAAATTAGTCAGACATGGTGGCGTGCACCTGTAATCTCAGCTACTCAGGAGGCTGAGGTGGGAGGATCACTGCAGTGAGTCATGATTGCGCCACTGCACTCCAGCCTGGGCGACAGAGCCAGTCCCTGTCTCAAAGCAAAAAACAAACAAAAAAATGCTACCCCCTGTACTCCCCACCCCTAGTTATGGTAAAGGAAGAGAGAGATGGGGCCCACCATCCAGGGCAGCCATGAGGGGACAGGACTGTAGCAGAGTGGTTGAGAGAAGAAGGGTCCTTACACACCTGCTACCTGGATCCAGAGAGAAACCACCACTTACCTCCTGACAGATAGAGTTGATATCAGCTCCTGAAATCTTATCTGGCCGGGCCACATCTGCAGCGAGTTAAGGAAACCATTCCCTGTGGGATGGGGTGAATGCCTGGGGCTGGAACTCACCTTTGGCCATCTGTCACCTCCCCTTCTCCCTGGACCTTGGTCCTACCCCCACAGTCTGGGCTGTGGTGATGGCAGAAGTTGAATTGAAGATCTAATCCCTGTTCCCAACTGGGGCCCCTCCCTCACTTCTGGAGCAGGATACAGTCTTCCAGGTCAACCTCCTCAGAGAGGTTCATCTTGCTGGTGATAGTGGAGAAAATCAATCTCTTCTGGCGGCGGTCAGGAAGTGGAAATTCAATTTTACGGTCCAGGCGTCCTGGCCGCAACAGAGCTGGATCCAGGGTGTCTGCTCTGTTGGTGGCCATGATCACCTGGCATTGGGGGCAGGCCAACTCAGATCTCTGCACTCCTACCTCCTTCCCATCATAATAACCGCCCCTCAGGTGCCAGCCCCCACCTTTCCCTGATTCCTACGCCAACCTCCCCTTGTTCAACATGAACCCCACACCTTGACATTGACATTCTGATCAAATCCATCCATCTGATTCAGCAGCTCCAGCAGGATCCTCTGAACCTCCCTGTCAGCTGAGAGTGAACAGCATGGTCATTCCCGGGCATCCTGTGCAACAGGCCTGTCCAAGACCCTGGGCCTTGTTTTGGCATCACTCACCCCCAGTCTGAGCGTCAAATCTCTTGGTGGCGATGGCATCGATCTCGTCTATGAAGATGATGGCAGGTGCATTCTCCTTGGCCAGGCGGAACACATCCCGGACCATGCGGGGGCCCTCACCCAGGTACTTCTGTACAAACTCCGAGCCCACGACTCGGATGAATGCAGCTGATGACAGCATGACAAGGATTAGGCAGGGATGAGCCTCCTGAAAGGCCCTTTCTGCTTCAACAGAAACTAAGAATTCCTTGAAGACATCCTTTTCCTTGGATACCCATACCTAGCAGTTGTGTCATTCTCTCAGGCCCGAGGCTGGGTCCCTCATCCAGCCCTGAGGAACAGCCATCTATTCATGTCCCACAGTCACCCAGTGGCTTCAATTATGAATCCTCCTCACAGATGTGTCACTTTTTTTTTTTTTTCAGATGGAGTCTGGCTCTGTCACCCAGGCTGGTGCAATGGCATGATCTCAGCTCACTGCAACTTCCGCCTCCTGGGTTCAAGTGATTCTCCTGCCTCAGCCTCCCGAGTAGCTGGCATTACAGGCGTGTGCTGCCACACCAAGCTAATAGTTGTATTTTTAGTAGAGATGAATTTTCACCATGTTGGCTAGGCTGGTCTTGAACTCCTGACCTCAATGATCCACCCGCCTCGGCCTCCCAAAGTTCTGGGATTACAGGCGTAAGCCACCACGCCCAGCCAGATGTGTCATATTTTTTGGTCCAACGTTTAAAAATCAGGATATGAAATACTAAAATAAAAGAAAAAAATCTTGCCTGGTGCGGTGGCTCACGCCTGTAATCCCAGCACTTTGGGAGGCTGAGGCGGGTGGATCACGAGGTCAAACGATCGAGACCATCCTGGTCAACACGGTGAAACCCCGTCTCTACTAAAACTACAAAAAATTAGCTGGGCATGGTGGCGCGTGCCTGTAATCCCAGCTACTCAGGAGGCTGAGGCAGGAGAATTGCCTGAACCCAGGAGACGGAGGTTGCGGTGAGCCGAGATCGCGCCATTGCACTCCAGCCTGGGTAACAAGAGCGAAACTCTGAAAAAAAAAAAGAAAAAAAAAAAAAAAAAGAAAAAAATCTACATTTCTGGAGCACTTGCAAAATCAGCAAGAAAACAGACATGCTGCCCATACACTAAGACATCATACTGCCTCACCAAGAGCTCTGAGTTCCTGTTTGCTATAAGGACCAGCTTTTTAATTTCCTGGAAAAATCAGGGCCCATGGGCATGTCTTCTGATACAATTGACAATTGGTAATAGGGTTGAAGACAGGTTTGCTCTGGGCCCTCACTTTGGACTTGTTTATTTTTTTAAAGATAGGGTCTCACTCTCTTGCCCAGACTGGAATACAGTAGTGTGATCATAGCTCACTGTAGGCTCAATCTCTCGGGCTCAAGCAATCCCCTCTCTTCAGCCTTCTGAGTAGTTAGGACTATAGGCATGTAGCCATACCTAGCTTTTAAAAATATTTGAAGAGATCGGGTTTTCCTATATTGCCCAGGCTGGTCTCAAACTCCTGGCCTCAAGGGATCTTCCTGGCTTAGCCTCCCGAAGTGCTGGGATTATAGGCATGAGCTGCTACCCCAGGCTTGACCCTGCCCTTGTTTCTTAAAATTACACTTGTTTCTTCTTCTTTTTTTTTTTTTGGAGGCAGAGTTTCACTCTTGTGGCCCTGACTGGAGTGCAATGGCACAATCTTGGCTCACCGCAACCTCCGCCTCCCAGGTTCAAAGCAATTCTCCTGCCTCAGCCTCCCAAGTACCTGGGATTCCAGGCATGCGCCACCACACCGGCTAATTTTGTATTTTTAGTAGAGACAGGATTTCTCCATGTTGGTCAGGTTGGTCTTGAACTCCTGACCTCAGGTGATCCACCCACCTCAGCCTCTCAAAGTGCTGGGATTACAGGCGTGAGCCACCGTGCCCAGCCAAAGTAACACTTGGTTCTTAAGGATCCAGTGCTTTGTGTTGTACAGAGCATAACCCCAGTAGTCTCCTTCCAGCCACCAGAGAAGGGAGACGTGCAGTCCATACATGTAGACAGGGTGGTTTTATGTCCTAAACTAGGAAGTGTTCAAGGCTTCATCCCTGCCCTGTTCACTCCCTAAGACCCAGACTTGACACCTGGCTCAAGGGGTCCCTTTTTCTAGGTACTTCCATCAGCTGGGGGCTCATTCAGCATCCTCACCTCAAGGTTTCTGACTTTTTCTGCTCTAAACACACCCTGACCAACTGACTCTGGCCATACATTTACTTAGCTGTACTGAAAATGTCCAACCAGTTCCACATGAAACCCCCATCTCTGGAACCCAGGCTGTCCGTCGGCCTTCCCTACTCAGTCACTACAGTCCCCTTCCTACCATGACCTTCCTGTCCTCCCAATCTCTCAGCCCCCTCTGGGCTCTGCTACTCCTTCCACCTACCCTGGAATGGGCTCCTGCTTCAGTTACTCACTCTTGGTAAGCTGTACTGCCACCAGAACAAATAGACGAATTCCCCCCGAAAAAAGAGAGAAAAAAAGGCTCACACCTGTGATCCCGACACTTTGGGAAGCTGAGGCAGGAGGATGGCTTGAGCCCAGGAGTTCAAGACCAGCCTAGGCAACATAGCAAGACCCCGTCTCTACTAAAAATAAAGATAAAAAAATTAGTTGGGAACGGT